TACTTTTATTTAATAAAATATATATAAAATATATTAAATTAAATCTAAATATTCTCTGGAATTGTTTTTTTAATTTAACTAGATTCTAATTGATATAAATAATATATTTTATATTTTAAATATTATTTTTAGAATTTATAAATCTATTTATAGTTTATAGATAGAATTTCTATTGTAATAAGATTTCAGAATAATATAATCTAAACATATTAAAAATAAATTTCATTAACTATTTTTATTATTAATATAGATATAATAAGAAATCTAATAATAACAAGTTATAAAATTTATTATACAAAAATATTTTCTTTTATATTTAAAAGAATTTGAGCTATTTTATAGATTTGGGAATATATTTCTTTTAGTTAATCTATTAGTTAAAATAGACTTAGGGATTTCAAAATATTCTATAATATTTTTAATTAATTTAAATTCTTTTAATTGAAGTAAAATTATAGTTTTTTAAAGTTTCTCTTTAATTTGAGTAGATATAAAAAATGATTAAGTATATATAATAAAAGTTATTACAATTTCAAATTAATAATAGACTAAAAATATCCGAATTCCTTATATGTTCGAGTTTCTCATATGTTACGTTATTATAAATTTAATATATTAAAGTATATATAAAAGATTTATTAATTAAATAGAATATAATCTCTGTATTATTTAATAAATTCATTTTAAATAAAAAAACTTGAATATAATTTCTATATAAATAAATCCTGAAATTCGAATTATATAAAATAAATTATAATTTTGTTATTTATATTAAAATCAAAATCTTCAACAGGTTTTTTATATTTAATTAAAAATTGTTTAAATCTTTTATTAAAACTATTAATAATATCCTAAAATTACTTCTTATATTTGTATTATAATTCGTCTTATTTTTCCTTATTATATCAAATTAATCAGTAATCTTTTTTCTTATAGATAAAACATTTCTTTTTTATTTAAAATTTAAATAAATATTAATTATTATATTTAAAATTTTTATTATATTCACCTCAACCACATTAATATTTGTGATTAATATAAAATATTATTATCTTATTAAAATAAACTTATTTTTATATTATTATAATTAATTAAAACTTTTTGAAAGATTTAGAATGTCTTTTATAAAGCAAAAACAAATTAAAAAGTGTGTTTTTATTGAAATATATATATTAATAGTTTTTTAATAAAATAGTTTATTTGTTCTTATTATAGAATTAAGTTCTTTATATAGATAACAAAATTGTATAATTATTAATTATAGATAGTATATTATTAGTTTTTTATTATTCTTAAGTTTTATTATTATTTTTTTAAATATAGTATTCTCCTATTATTATATAAAACTATATTTATAACGTAGTTTAACACCGAGTGGCCAATATCATTGAGTGACCCATTTTTATCTCAATTTATATCTTTTTTTTTCAATATATATTTTATCAATAATTTATAATAAATTCGAATAATCAAAAAGCTTATATACTCCTTATTATTAAAACTATTCATAAAAATAAAAAACTAAGTATTCGAAAAGTTGTTATATTCTATAATATTTTTTATATGATTTTTCAATATAAAATAAAAGATTTATCTTTTTATATAGAAATTTGAATTAATAATCATAAAATTATAGAATTAGAAAAAAAGATAATTATTTAATATATATTTGATATAAATTCAAGAAGATTTTTATTTAAATTAAAAAATATAAAAAATATAGTAAATTATATTCTTAAATCAAGAAATACAAAATATATTAGAAAACTCTAAGTATATTGATTTATAAAGTATTGAATTAAATTAAAGATATATTTTAATTGTATTTATAATTTTCAAAGAGTTTTTTATAAAGATTTTAAGCTTATTAAAGAATAATTTTAATTAATTACAAATATATAAGCGAAATATAGTATTTTGAATAATGATTTCTATAATTTCAACAAAACAAACTTTATAATAGGGATTATATATATAACAATAATTATTATTAATATTGAAAAATATAATAGAAATAAATCAATATAATTAAGTAATCGAGAATAGACTATAGCAATAATATATGGAAATATGGAAATAAAATTATTCCCCTATTTCTAATAATTCAAGAATAGATTTATTTCTTTAATTAATATATCAAAACTAATCTTTTTATAGAATAAACTATTAAATTTATATCTAATGAATAAACAAACAATAAAATAGGTTTAAAATAATTAAAATATTTTGATAAATATATTAAAAATCGAAAAAAGAGCAAATATCAAATATTAGTATTAAATAAATATAAAAATTACAAATCAATAGTTTTTCAAATATATTATAAAAAGAATAATATTATATATCTAAATTTATTATTATATTTAAATTATTTAATTTAGTTATTTAATATTAATTGTTTTGATAATTTGAAATATTTATATAATATTTAAATCAATAAATTTATAAGGTATATATTAATTATATTTCAAAAATTAAATTCTTTATAGTTTTTAAAATTGTATATTAAAAATCAATCATTTTTAAAATATAAAAGCAAAATTTCGAAAATAGATTTAATTTATTTAATTCTGAAATTATATTTTCAAAATTAGATATTCGAATTTGTATATCTACCCCCCCTTCTTTCAATCTAAATCAATAGATTTCTCAAATCTTTTACAATTCAATTAAAATTCTTTTTCAATTAATATTAATTAAATCTCGAATAATTTATTATTAATCAAATTCTTTTTATTTTATATTCAAAAATTAATATTAATTTTAACTAAAAATATAAAAGATTAACTTATAAAAATATATTTTTAAATGTAAAAAATTGTATATTTTAGATAGTAAATAAAGTATTAATAAATGTTGATGTGTAAAAAAAACTTAATTATATTAACAAGGCACTATTTATTAAATAAACAACTTTTAATATATTATTCAATAAAAATTGATATTCAGATTCAATACAATAAATATCAAAAGAAAAAAATTCTAATAAAAAAAACATTTTCTAATTAATATTATAATAAATATAAAAAAATAGGATATAATATAAGAATCTATTAAAATAATATAATAAATTCTAGATTATTAGATTTTTTTTAATTTCATTAATTGATTTAATTATTATTAAATAATATAAGTTTGAAAGTGTAAAGTGAGTGAAAGTGGGCTATTTGGTGATATGGGCTACTCGATGTTAAACTACGTTATTCTAAATCTTTAAATATATTTCTATTAATTAATATATTTTATTTATTGTATTTAATATATTATTTAGATTTGTATGATAGAAATCAATATAATTTCTATAATTATCATTAGAAATATTTTTAATAATAAATCTTTTAGAAAATTAATATATTAATAATTATTAAGGAATATTGAATATTCTAATACAATTAGATTTATCCACTATATCTATTTAATTTTATTATAAACTTTCTTAGAATTCTCTAAAAATTAACTAATATTAAATAATTATAATAATAAAAATAATAGAGCTTTTAAAATATTAAGAATGATATTCCAATCATTTTTGTTTTCTTTTTTAAAACCATATTCTCTTTGTCTATATGAGTTCGATTAAAATTCTATTATTAAAATTAAGTTCTTTATTATTATTATTTTTATATAATTTCCTTTATTTATTATTTTATCAATAATTCGTTATATAATTAACTATGTCTGTTTATAATTATAATATTGTAATAATAAAAAGAGTATATTAATAAACAAAAAATATTTCTATTTAAAATTAATTGCTTAATAAAATTAAACAAATAGGGGGTTTTCAAGATTATAAAAATTATATATAATTAATTTATTTAATAACAATATTAGAATATGATAATTATAAGAATATATTTAGAATTAAATAATTTTATTTTTTCAATATTTATACTCTTATCTTTATCAAAAAATTGAAATATATTTAAAGAAATTATATATAATATTTGTAATCATTTATATAAATTAAATTTAAAGCTCCAGTTATTATAGCATTCAATATTGATTATATTTAATATAAAACAAATGAGTTTTTTATTTAGAATATTTTAAAATTTCTCTTTAATATAATTAACTTTTTATTTCTAATTTTATTCTATATATTCTTTAATTAAAATATAAAGTCTTTTTTTAAGAGTATTTGTGATTTCCTAATTTGATTATTTTCTATATAATAAATGAATTATATTAATTAATATATTATAAACTAATTGTATTATATAATTAAAGTATTTTGCTATAAATAGTTTATAAATATAGAATTTGTATTTTAATTTATATAATAAATATATACTTACAATTTAAAAGTATTCTAATATAAATTCTTAAAAAGATTGAGAATATTTTGATTATAATTCTTTATTATAAAAAATATTATATTGATATTTATATAGCTTGAATTTATAGAATTCTTTAATATCTTTTATTATTACTTTTTGAATATTGAAAAAATTGTTTTTCTATTTATTAATTATTTTATTAAAAATAATAATTTTGGTTTTTAATAAAATTTCTGATTTGATAATAGATTTGTTATTATTATGTTTCTTTCAAAATAACAAAAAATCCATACAAAATCCTATTATATTAATGAATAACAAATAAATAATAAAATAAACAAAATACTAAAATATAATTTTGTCAAAATTTAGCAAAATTGTATTTATTCGAAAGAAATAATATTGAATTTAAGCTAAATTTATTAATTCTTATTTTTCAAAATATATTGTTTTAAAGAATAGAATATAAACTAAAATTAGCATAAAAGCTATTATTACATTATTGATAATTTTTATTTATACAAAGAATAATATCAATCCACATTAGATTAATATAAGAGTTTATATTTTTTCAAAAAAATATTAATCTTAATCTAAAATATATATTACTTTTGAATAAGATATTAGGTTTCTAATCTATAATATTATTGATTAATATTAATATTATTATAGGAATGGTAAAGATAATATAATATTATAATTTATATTATTATAATATTACTTGAGGTTCTAAAAGCTAGGGCTATGATACGTCTATATTTAAATGCTGAGGCACTAGCGTAAGCGCTAGTGCGGTCACATGATCCCTGTCCCGACAGTTATATTTGTTGTTGTTATTGAGATCGAGAGTCATTATGTAGGTGTTGTTTGCTGCGTCGTAAGCTACCGCGGGCTTGGCGAGACTGTTGTAGTCACCGAGATCCTCCCATTACAAGAAGAGATATGGTCAGGCGCACCTTACAAATTATCGGATTTTCGGAAAACTTACCTCTGTCCAAATACTGGTGTCCACAGTACCAGTATAAGATCGGTGGAATAATTTTTTGGTATTGGCAATAGCCCAAATATCAAACTCTGTATGAGATTTGCGAGTGATCTAGTGACACGATTGAAGTATCAATCATGTGATATCGGCATCATCATTGGTGAGAATGACTTACAAGTGGTTCACCGACGAATACTAACGTTCCACCAAGCTTTTGTTGTGTAAAATAGCTGGTCCCATCGCTCTTCGACCATTGCTTAGCATAAAGTAGATCCCCTGCACTGGATAGCCCGACGTAATGAACTACCGAGCTGATTCCATTGTTTGTAGCTTGCGCAGTTGATATGTGAGATAGTTCGGAAGCGAAAGCAGGCTTTGTAACGAAGTTTCTACATGAGGGCGGGGTATCTCTGAAAGAGCTACTGTAACTATCAAAAAATTCAGCCTCGGCATTATATAAATAAAACAGACATCAAACTCACCTGTAACAGACTGCCCCTGATCCTTTTGTTACAGTGTACACGCTTCCCTGGCTGTCTTGCCACTGTCCTGCAGGGAGGCGAGATTGTCCCGTTTCGGAGTTAGTTTCCCAGCCATCACCACTCATCCATCCATAACCAGGAATATAGGTGTACTTCCAAACTTTTCCGCCTGCGTCAGTGATATATGTTTGGATCAGTTCGCCCAATACAGGTGCAATTGATGTAGCTCGAAAGTCGCCGGCTCCAAAGTTGGGGCTGCCGATGCTATATGCATTGTTAACGAGACTGGTCTCGACTACGATGACCTGTCCATCCCCTGCATTCAGAAACGCGATACAGCCGGTATCTGCTGCGGATAATGCGACAACACTTGGGTCGTAAGCCGCTTTGACTACCTGTTTTCTCAGTATCAGTAAGAAGGGCATTAGGGAGTTCAACGTAGACAATTACAATTGGGCTCGCGGTAAGCCATGTCATGAAAGGCAAGAGATACATCTCTAGTATTCGAAAAAAATAGTGTCAAAGTAGGATTAAAAAGTTTTATGTGTATATCGAGAGAACGCCTGTAGCTATTCGGCAGTCTAATGATAGCTTGGACAGCGTTGAAACTTGACGATTCAACGCGAGTTATGGCTCATTTAAATAATCAAGTAAGAACAATATCAATGATGTACTTCGCTTAAAAGTCTTCATGTAAGTAGTCAGAATTGGATCTCAGGATCGTCATGTTGAGAAACGAGCTGAAATCTAAGCATGGTTCGGTTCAGTAAACGTCGAAAAATCGTCCCCGGAGAGCCACGTTTCGGAAATGCCGTTTTTGTGGTTTGCTGCATTAGCGACTTGTCAAATGCTGCATCTACCTGCCCGAAAAGAATTCTCGGCTGCATGTGGGTCTTTTTGTGGATGCTATATATAATGTGCAAAATCAGCCCTTTTGATTCTACTGGTTCGAGTTTTTTTAAAGTTTTCGAGGTAGACAGTAAGAAATCTCGAGCTTGCACGTAGCTGACTTGCTAGCTTATGCTCTGTTGTCAAAATTAAGTTCGGAACCACAGAATCCGGGCCACTTTAGGCATGGAGCTTCATCGTGAGATGGAGGCGAAAAATAGTATGGCTTTGTGGGGTGATTCCTACTGGCTGCCGATGGGGAAAGGTAGGGCACTATCCTCACAAGTGAAATGACATCACTTAAGAGATTGTCGAAAAAACTATACATTTACAGGCAAGATAGACCTCAAAGGCCTAGGTGTTCTCCTCAGACGAGCGACTTTCCTCGGCATCGCAGAAAAACTCGATTGGTTATCATCGAAACCTGGTTCCCACCACCGAAGATTCATTAAAAACGCGCACCCATTTCCTCAGCCCCTCATGTTATGTCAAATATTTGCCAGCAAAAAGTAAACAGAGCAATTGCATCATACTTTCACCCTTGGTGGCACGTCTCAGCTAGGAGATCTGGGGTGCGCATTGAACAACGTCTTGCAGTAGGGGCCAGCTCAAGCCTTTGATCCAGACATCAATATTTCAATTGCTTCAAGACAACTATGGCTAATCCCACCAAGATCTGAAATGCCTCGATCACTCATGCACCAAATGAACTCCTTATTGTTATGGGAGAGCTTCACATATCCGTGTCAGGAATGCCTTCAATCGTGGACAATTCAACATCACCACCACTCGAAACGGTGGCAAAATGACCTATTATTGATTATTACAAGCATGAGTCAACGCAACTGTCATTTCTGAATGATTGAGAGTAAACAAAATGGAACGTGGACCTCGCTCGTGATTGCCATTACATCCTTAATGCACTTGCATTAGCCTGAAAACGCACATGCAATTTCACCTGGCTGTGAGGAATCTCGCAGGACAAGAAAAGACTTTCCAAAATAAGGTTAAGATATGAAGAGATGTTCAAAGCTGGTGGACATCATAATTTTACTGTGGCTATAATGCGGAACTCGTGTTACGAAGGATTCTTTGCCTTCCTACAACTTGGCAGCGCAGCTCTCGGAAACGCGATGCGGGACCAATGCAGATGCAATGACAGAAGAAGCAGATTACCCAGCCTTCTCTTTTCATCATGCTTGCATCGAGTAGTAAGCGGGGTATACTTAGATTTCAATCGTATCGTCCTTTTGTGATCAGCCGAGAAGTAGAAGAAGTAATCAGAATAACTTGCCCATGGCATATTCTGAGCTCTGTAGTAATATCATAGGGGGAAAATATGGATAGTGAATGAATCAAAAGATGAAGGAACGTGCCCCTAGACTTCGTTGAACGTTCTCAGTCAACAAAACCATTGTGGTTGAATATTGGCTGTCACATAGAAATGTGGTATTAGTGACAGACGAGTTTTATCTCAGCAAATTCTTGCCAAAGGTCCAAAAGGATTAGCTTTAGGTAGGTATTGCAATGAGATGGCCCCTCAGCTTTGCACCAATTGCGTGGCGACTTCTGCAAAGAGAGACCCTTTGCTTCGAAAAGTAAGAAGGTGACATGCATGTCTGCACTTCGTAAGTGGGAAGGTTCGGCTTGTGCCATGGCTCTAAGAAGGCTGAGAATAAGTCCGACCCCACCAAGTCAGCTCTTGCGAGCAGGAAATCAATCAACTTCGATTCAATGCAACGCAAAGCTGGGTATTCAAAGATCAAGAAATCATTCAATGGAAAGGCCATGCTGACTTCTGATAATCAATCGATACAATCTTTCTGGCAGATCAGTATCGAAACGGAGATTGAAATCACGACCGAGGGAAGGAAGTTGGCGAGTTGAATACAAAGGCGGTACCACCTTCCAATTCCCTGCAGGCAGACTCTGCAGAGAGAATTGCCTTATCGCTGATCGCTGATAGAAGGATATAATCGCGACAGAAATGAGACACGCTTGATTGGCCTATATACCCATATTACGAAGGTGCGAGAATAGTCAATCGCGAATTGGGCAAGAAAGTTCGTCTCATGAATGCGCCGTGCAAATGAACGAAACTCTGAAGAGCAAACACATTGAGGGATAGGAGAATGAAGGGATTCACATAGATATATGCGGCATACCATTGAAGTACATCGCCAGTCACCGACAGCGATACTTGTAATAAGAGTTTGCAAGTGGCTTGAGGAGTAGTGTTCTCTTAGAAGTGAAGTGGCAATTGGATATGCGATGTACTCTGTACTCTTTTTGATCTCGGAAGTATACCAGATCAACCCAGGGAATGAAGCCAATCCGAACAATAAGATTTGGAGACTCAATTTTCTCTATTCTCAGAATTTTATGATTCGTTATCTTTGCAAATCTTGGCGCTTTCCAATCGATTCGTCTTCGATGGAAATAATTTTGTTGCAGCGATATTGCAGATTTAATGTCTATTTTCAAGGCGTTTATACCGATTTTCCCCCCTTATTTACCTTTGCTACTTGTCAAGTTGTCTACCTTAGCTCTCCATTCAACTTCCCCAGCCCATGGCCAAATGAGAAGATTTCAAGACATGAAATAACTTTCATAAATATGCAAGGTGCCTGCAATCGTTCTCAATAAAACTTATTGTGCAACAGTACACATTCCACAGGTCAAATCCGGAAAAAAATCCTGCCACGCATTTTCTCTTGTCATTAGAGCAAGCCTGGCGCTAATCAGCTGACGAATTCATGATGGTTGCCGTCGGATGATTCTCCTATCACTTTTTCTCCAGGAGACCAGTGAAAAATTGTATTCTTTTGATGAAATATTTCAAAGACAGTGAGCTTGAAAATTCCTCATTTGGTACATTGCGAGTTCATTCCATTGAATTTCCTATTCTGTCCTTCATTCCAGCCCGCATTTCATTTCTCATTCCATCTAGAGACAAACATTGACACACCAATATTCTTCATAAATGTTGTTTACCCACTTGATATTATCTGTAGCAATTGCTTCCACATGTAATCATGTCCGCTCATCAGGCAACGAATGCGGTTAATGGCACCAATGGGACTACGACGGTGAATGGGTCCACAACCAAGGATACAAAGATGGTTAGTGGTGCAAAAGAGAAGAAGCCAAATATTTTTCGAAGGATAATTCGAAGACCCAAGAAGACCAATCTAAAAGCCGCAGGCACAATCGTTGCAACACCTGCCGAAATCAATGAAGCGACAGCAAAATTGTTTGCGAGGCTCGAGGAGAGGTATGTTATTGTATATATCTTGCTTTATACGATGAGACGAACTCACATATTTTTAGGTATGCGGATAGCTTTCGCGCTCAAGGGTTCGAAGTAGATAGACCATTCATACCACGCAAATTTGAGACACAACGAGCACTTTATCAATGGGCACTTCCGGGAACCACAACCCCTTCATACCCACCTCACCTGAAATGGATACCTCTTGATGATCGGGTAGGACTACTCAAAATCTTCAACCTCAAACGATTTATCGATGTTTCTGTGTCGCTTCTCCCCAAAATTCCACCAGAGATCTCAAATCTTCTATTTGGAGATCCTTATAATGGAACCACAATGGTAATGTTAGAAGAAAGAATGAAAGCTTTGCAAGTAGAAGAGAAGAACATTGGAACTGAACCAAGTATTGGCTACCGTAAGGATTGGTACAGTGATGCAGTGTTCGCTCAACAATATTTTACTGGTCCTAATCCTTCATCTGTTGCTCTGGCTGGACAAATCTGGCTCGATAGGTTCAAGAAATCTGCTTTCGACCAAGGCAATAAAGAAATGCACAGCCTCCTAGAGACATTCAATTCAGAATCCTTCTATATACAAGATTGTAGTTTTTTCCGCGAATGGGCCGGCGCTTCCCCCGACGCTGTTCTCAAATCTGACAACGGTAAAAGATATGGTTGTGCCTCCGTAACATTGTTTCATCTCAATGCAGACGGCGATCTTCATCCCTTAGCCATTGTCTTGGACTACAAAGTCAGTATAGAACATTCGGTCACGATATTCAACAAGAGAATTAATCCGAAGGATCCAAAAGAAAACGAGCATGAGGATTGGCCATGGAGATACGCTAAAATGTGTAGTTTGGTTTCTGATTGGACTCATCATGAGGTGACATTACATCTCAATGATTGTCATTTTGTGGCGGAGGCCAGTGCTGTGGCTGCTTATAGAAGCTTTCCCAGTGATCACATCGTTCACAAAATCTTGGAACCCCATTGGTATGTTATTCTTAGTTCTCATTCAGTCTCGCGAACATTCAGGTTTATTCCAAATGATAATAGCTGATTAAGAATAACGAAACAGGTTCAAAACTCTTCCTCTGAACGCCGCCGCCCGTGAAACTCTTGTGCCACAGGTTGTCACCAGGATCAACGGCTTCACTGAACAGCAGACCTACGAATTCCTCCTCAGCTCTTACAAAAACTTCAACTGGACTGGAAACTACGTTCCAACTTCTCTGATTACCCGTGGCTTCCCTCTATCAGCCCTCAATGACAAGAAAGATCGCCGATTTCACAACTACGCATACGGGAAAAACATGGCTATCTTGTGGCCCATTCTGTTTGACTTTGTTTCTTCTATGCTTTCCACATATTACACGGGTGACGCCGACGTCGCAAAAGACACATGTGTATCAACTTGGTGTAATGAGATGCAATCTCCAATGGGTGGTCAGATGTCTACTTTCCCTGGCATCAAAACTCTCAACGAACTGACAAATGCGATAACCATGTGTATCCACATCGCCTCACCCCAGCATAACGCTGTCAACTACCTCCAGAATTACTACATGTCTTTCATACCCAACAAACCACCCTCTCTTCAACAACCCCTTCCTGGAAGTCTCGGTGCTCTTCAAAGATACAGAGAGGCTGATGTCATCAATGCTCTCCCCATAAATGATCCATCACTCTGGATCCAAGCATCGCAACTCCCCTACCTACTCAGCTACAGAGTCGCAGAAGATCAAACACTATCCACTTATGCCAGAGAACTGAGAGACGCCGCAATTAATCCGCGAGGGAGATTTGCAGGGCCAGGTGATACAGGAAGAAGAACAGATGAGGTAAGAAAGGCAGCCGAGAAGTTGTTACTTGACCTCGACGTCGCGGCTAGAAAGTTCAAGGAGAATAGTGAGGCGATGAGTGAAGGGATTGCTCCGTATTATGTTATGGATCCTGGAGAATTGGCTGTTAGTGTGCTGATATGAGACCCCCTTGCCATGTTACGATCGATTGGAAATATTGGTTCTTGTTTGTCCTTCTTTGCGTTCTTTTCTTTCCTTTACTTCGGTTTTGTACGTTTAATTTTCGCTAGATAGATTTTGGTCAGTAGGTACCCAGGCTTTGGTTTTTGGGCTGGAAAAAATAATGGTTTGGGCAGATTGCATGTTGGGATTGGAGGGGATATTTACTTTTAGGTGATACCTAGGTTAGAAAGAGCGTGGCGTTGCAATGTTTGATGCGAGAAATTCTTGTTCGTTTTGCTTTCATTCCGAATAGTCTTAGTGATATTTTAATTAAAACTTAATCTATATTTTTACTAATTTCCCAGTATCTCTTTCCTTGTATTAAGCTTTGTATCGTGATTTCTCATATGTCTACAATGGCACATCAAACACGTATCTTTGAAAGCGCGATGGAGGGAACAAAACCCATCAAGTTGTCAAAAAAGCTAATTGATATCTAGAAATTTAATGAAATAGTTTACAATTAACCATCTACATCTTCTACATCAACCGCTATGATGTAAAGATCATCCACCTATGGGCTAACAGTTCCCAGCCACGGAAGCGACAAATCGGTAAAGAAACTGGCTCCCTTAACGGTAGTAGGAGCACCAGAAGCCGTAACATTGCATCGAGTTGGAATATCTCCCGCGGCGTCGATTTTACTCTTGATCAGTTTCGAATAATCGCTAAGAAGACAGCTGGAGCCGGGCCCAGATCGACACGATTGCACTGGATAGACAGCATCATTGAGGAGAATGCGAACATATGTTGCGTTTGTCGAGGCTGATAAGCCTGCATCCTTGTACGAATATGGTGCTGAGTGCGTTGAGTTAGTGGAGGTTGAGTTTCCGGGAATAGCGCAATTCAATCGTTCGAATGCGACTGTGCCTCTCATGGTGACGAAATGACTCGAGATGTATTCGTAATCGTGTGGAATTTTCGTTCCGTCGCCCAGAGATTTGGCTTTGTCCCATACGCCAGTTGCGGCGCCGAGCTCGGTAATCTGTCCGTCGTTCATGAAAGCAGTGAGAATGCTAGGTAATTTATAACTGGACCCGTTGAGAAATGTTCCGTTGGTACCTGGACCTTGTTCCAGGAGTCCGACGAGGGAGTTGAGATATGGAAGCATCATTTTGGAAGGTAAGTCGACACCTGGACCGGTGCCATAATAGTATCTCAAATCTTGGGCATACTCATATTGCTTGAGTTCTTCGTCTGTAAAGACACCACACCACGGAGACAATGTGCCTGTGATTTGAGATTCGAAACCACAGAGATATGGCATGATAGAGACATCGGTGGTTGAGAAGTTGAGATTTCCCTTGATTAATGACTGAAGGCGGGCGTGAATGGGAGGAAGGTAGATCGAGTTCCATGTTACCTCTGGAGCCGTTCATCAGTTACATTTCAAGCGACCAAATCACGCAGACAGAACATGAAATTAAAAGGACATGGAAAAGTGAGACTTACGTTCTGTACCACCATTGCCGTCCACAAATGACGGGCATAAATCACTTGGACTTAAGCTGTCAAAAAGTGCCGATTCGCTTCCCGTTGAGTTGATAGTAATTACCATGCCAAGATTACTTGCTGTAGACCCGAGAAACCCCCTCACAAAGTTTTGTGCAGTTTGTACAACGCGGGGATACAAGTTTGCCCAGCTTATGAATGGTTGGCCATAAGCATAAAGATTTGGGTAACGAGTCCTCAATTGATAGCCAAGATCGTAGGCTTCTTTGAACCCCGTGGGGCTCTCTTGAGCTATTTGAAGGGTAGGGTTGGTCAGAACAGGCTTCCATGATTTTAGGAAAGCCAAAGAACCAGTGGAAGTAAAATTGGCTGCTTGTATCTCAGCATATAAGGAGGTCCATTGCGCATATGCTCCAGAATCCGGATATCGACTTCCGTGTCTAACGTTATATGCTACCTGATCCACATAGCAGTTTTCGGGCACGTGATTGCTAATGCCGTGGACATTTGGTCCTGTTTTTGTTTAGCATCTAAAACAATAGATTGGAGGGATCTGTATCAACCGAAATGATACTTCGGTCACCAAAGAAATTTCTCACAAGAACTTACCAGTAAAGTAGGGACTGTTGGCACCTAAACTAGTTAATGGATTGGTGGCACTTGAACTTCGTGGAAGCAGAATATCGTCCTCTGGCGCCAAAAAGATGGTTGCTTGAGCAAAGGAAGTGAGAAGAAAGCTTGTGCTGACAAGAGTATTTGAAGGAATGAACTTCATCATGTGCTACTCTCCAATGGATCAATTTATGCGGGCAAAATGGTTGAAGGCGTAGAGTAGGGTTCTGCAAAGATAAACCTCACATAAAATGGTATCACTGAGTAAACAAAAAAAACGAGTTCATCGACCAGAGCAGTTGATATACATATTTATAAGTACACTTTTCTTCGGTCAGGAGAAGTTGGTAATTCATCCGACTGGATGATCTATGAGAAGTGCCATAATTAGCCCATAGAATACTCCGAAGAAGGGGGCTGGTCAAACAAACATCGGTTTTCCACTGGGAAGATTTCCACAGTAGCAGAAAATTCATGGATGTTCACATTTCAAGATGGAGTAATTTCCTCATCAGCTTGATAACGAATGTCGTTCCTCGTATCTAAAAACACGTGGGAAACGCAAAATATCCATTGGCATTTGTTTTCATATCGCCGGAGATGATAACCAAGAATGGGGTACTGAGCGGGGATGGTGGTGTCCACACCCCTGACGGTCATTGCTTTCGCAAAATTCAATCAGCGAGAAGGATGTCAAGAAGGGAAAAGAATTTTGCTGACGTTGTAAAAGTTTCACGAAATCGAAAGGAAAATCACGTTAACATGTGCTACACTTGAAAAAGTTCATATCATATCTAGACGTACCCACCTTACGCCCAAAGGTATTCTCCGTAACTCCATTCATGCCACATGACTATATACATATAAAAGAATACATTTCTGTCAATATCCTATTGTTTGGTCAAGACCAATGGGATCTCGGATTGTTCTCAATTCGTAAAGGGGTCAGAATCTGTACTGTCTTGGAGCTCTATTTAGCTCTGATGAAATATCTGCCTAAGTATCAATCCTCCTCACTCCCATACCCCCCAAACCAGTGGCGGTTCCAACTACCTTTCTATTATCACCAAAATTATGTAATCTTTCTCCTATCAGATAGACTTCATCCTTAATCTTCTGCTTCCATCCCTTAACCATCTGTGCCGCTTTCCATAAGGCACCAACCACCCCTAACATGACCAGGACCATGGGATATGCGTAACGATTCACATATATCAATTCTAGTTCTGTAGAGTTCCTCCACAAAGTTTTGGTTGCAAATTGAGCAAGCATGTAGGGAAAAGCAAGAGCTATGGAAAGTACAAGCGTAGCTGGGAATATGAAAGACCTCGTAGCTAGCCTTGCATCCGGATCCCAATAACCGTTTCGCGTGATTGCACGTAATGCTTCCGCTGGCCGGCTGCCCTCATGCCACAATATAATTCTTGTGGTCAATTTAACGTACAACAATCCTAATGTCCAACTTTGCACAAAATGAACCACATGTCTCTCGTCCTCCGAGAAATAAGTATGCATGGGGATGATAAAATAAAATTCCACGAGGAAGGCAAAGAGTGTAGGAAGTACAAGGATGAAAGCAGTGTAAGTCCAGACAATGCGGGCTATGCGAAGAGCAACCTTCGCTACGCGGCTAAATATTATGCTTGGTGTGTCTCCGTCAAGATATAATGAGTTACGAAGTGTTGCCAAACCGGTTGGAAGGTGTATAAGAGCATAAAGTGCGCTTCCCAATATGTAGATTCCAATGGAAAAAGCATAAACATCGTTCTTACGCACGTCCGCTGGAATGATCTTTGCGAATATATACCTTCCGAACACCAGAGGGACAATGGTGAAGCATACTCCTGTTGCTGCAGCGAAGAGCCAGATTGAAAGAATGAATGTAGAGATTCTTAAGCGGAACCATGGTGGTACGTAGACCAGCTTGTAATTTTCAGGATTGCGACCATGAACACCATCAAAGCTGTCCTTGACGCCATCCAGACGACGATTATCACGATCTACCTCGAGGAAAGTTTTGGTACCCTTTGGGAGTTTGATTTGATCCGATGCGGGAGCTCTTACATATCGTCCGTCGTGTATGAGCTTAACATCATTGTCTTCCGTGTCCTCTGCATGTTTAGGTTTCGAGAACGTGAAATAATCTTTCCACGACCCTCGAACAATTTGACCCTCCTCGTCTGGTTTTCTTTCATCAAACATAAACCACGTTAACCTCAACAACCGAGCGCACCGGCGGAACCACCAGCTATACATCGAATGCAAACCATCAGAGGGCTTGAAGAATCTGACTGCCAAAGGCATCAAGAAGTTGTAAAAGAGGAGATCAACGGGGAATTCCAGTACTGGCTCGTTTGAGGACCAATGAATTGGAAGAACACCTTTGAATGAGAATGAAAGTCCCCAGACTACTCCACCCAAGCAAATAACGACCAGAGCACCGTAAACTAATGCGCTAAACAGGATCTTGCGCAGTTGTGTCGTCACGCTTCGTTCTAGTACATCACGAACAGGATGAAATGTCGGATCGTCGGGGTCACGAATGAAGTCTAATAGTGTTAGCAATGGTTAATCGATGACAAGAATAGTAGATCAACTTACGTAAAACCCCCTTCCGCATTATTTTTCGGCACATCGACACGAACAAGGCGAAATGAAACATGTAGCAAGTGCCGACAAACCAATGTATGAAGACGGAAGTAAGAGGTGACCGGCCAGTGAAACTAAGACGAGACATAATAGTAGCGCCTTCGAACAACGGCAGCAGAGCTGCATCGAGAAGCAAGCCACAATACAAGGGAAATACGAGCATCTCGATACTGATGATAAAAATCACTTTCATGACTCCGCCTGCTTGGTTCAACATATCAATGACTCCGTTTTCCACATCTCGTACA